TTTTACATCGATTTTTCAGCAAAAACAACACAAAAAGAAAAAAACGAAAGCATTCATAAAGAACCAGAGAGATTTGTAAAGGGTTCTCTATTCTTTTTGACAGAAGCAATACCAAGCAGGACACACATCATAAGGTTTTCGATTCACCTTTTTTCTGTTATTTCTCAAAACAATGTAAAAGGGGAGAGGAAGAGAAGGAACCAACCTAATGTTTTTCCATATTCGTCGAGCCATTGAAGTGGATGCAGCCGGTTCAAGATGGGTACGTCGAAGAGAAGCTTCAGTGCATCGGGTGTAAAGCTCGTCTGGGTTCATTTAACTGGGCAGGTATGCAATGCAATTGTGGAACTTGGGTGAATCCTGCTTTTCAGTTGCATAAAAATAGGATAGATGAATGTTATATGTGAGAAAAGGAATTAAAGAACCAGGATTGTTATGTTGCTTGATGAACTAACCTTAATAAATTCCATGAATGAATTTGGTAGTTTGTTGTGGGAGATTAACATTTGTAGATTATTCAATAACCAACAAACTGCCATCTGATTATAAGGGATGGTTATTTCTATTAATTGTTGCTTATGTTTCTTTAAAAAGAATGGTTTTTGGTTGAGGAAGAAATGAGCAAGAGCGGCTGAGTTATTAGTTTAGTTTAGGTCTGTAAAGTTAGGTTTTATACAATAGCTTTTGGGTTAATTAATATTTAGTCACTGAATATGAAAGTTGAATTAGGTTCTAGTCCCCCAAATTTTAGCGTGTTTGTATTTCAGTCACTTGTAAGTCTATATTCGAATTTTAACCTTTTGTGTTTGTCCTAATTTCGCTATTTTTCCAGTTTTAGTTTTTGTTATAATTTTGTTGAGTTATTCACGTGTAGATCCTTTGTTTATTCGTGTGTTTTTATTTAAGTCCCTGGTTTATTTTTTATTTGTATGCTGAATTTTGCATATATTTAAATTTAGCCATTATTTTATTATGTATATATTTTAAAATGTATAGTTTGACATGTTATGTTTTTATTTTTATATTTAAGTCACATTTGTACATTATATGTTAATATGCATGGTTTATAGTTTTTAATTTTAAATACACGTATAATTTTTTGTATGTCATGTTGTATGATATTTTTAATTTTGTTTAATTAATTTTTGGCATGACATCCTTTTTTGCACGATTCGCATGGTAACCTCATTTGCATAACTCGATATATTACATAATTGGATTAAGTGTAATACATTTTTAATTTAAAATTGTTTTAAGTGGGTTGTCATAACGCATTTGAGGTCCGCTTTTAATGATTTTAAAATAAAAGTGTATCCCCTTAATGACGCCTAAAAATTGATCAATCACTTTAAAATTTGGGAATAGAAGAAAAAGAAATGTTCGACTATTTAAATTTATCGAGAAAAGATTGTTATAGCTTTTAAGATCTGGTCTCGATATTTATAAATAATCGAACATTCTTTATCTTTCTAAAACGACTCGGTAATTTTAATTTAATTTATTTGAGTGCTTTTGAATGTTTTTAAATTTATATCTTTGTTTTATGGGATCAAAAGTCAAATAAGGTTCGAATTTCTAAAGTTCATTGCAAAGACATTAATTAATCGACTAGGTACCGTTTTAGGGCGTTGTGAGGGTGTTAATCCTTCCTCGCACGTAACCGACTCTCGAACTCAAATTTTCGTAACGCATACCTTAATTTGTTGTTTTAATTAAAATTAATTTTTATTTAAAATAACAAACATTTTTGGGTGCCCAATCACACCCTAATCAAATATTGGTGGCGACTCTTTGAACCGTATTTTTTTTATCGTAAAGGAAATCCAAAAATTTTGAAACGAGAGGTCTTTTAAATCGCATTTGTTTTTAAATTAAAAATCAATTGAAAGAGGTAAATAAAAATTAATGTGGTTTTTTAAAATATCACATTTTCACCTTTTGAGAAAAAAATCGTTTCGACAGGAGTAAATTGGTTAACATTTTAGATTAAAAAAATATATTATGCTTTCCATAACAAATCATGTAAATTGCATAATTATTATGGTTGCAACCTAAAAAATTATCGTCAAAAAACTCATGTAACATTCTTTGTTGTAAATGAAAGTATTATCAATTGTTTAACTTTATAGAGTATACATGGTAATATTTAGGTTAAAACTCATCGTAATATAACATTATCTGTTGTAACCGAAATTATTATTAATTATATAATATTTTAAAATAGAAAATATATCATTTTAAGTTAAAATCTCCCACCAAATTCTTTTCCGCACGACAGAGCTGCCGATGAAATTGTTAAATTCGTTTGATTTTAATTTTGTTGGAAGCATGGATAAAAGAATGTGTCTAACATGCCAAATCTATACTGTTGAGGGTTGTTTCATCAGTTGGAAGGCCATTTTAAAAACTATTACTAATATTTTGTCTACTATTGAAGCCATTTATATGACAATTAGCGAATTTGTAAAGAAGTTGGGATAAATTATGCAAATAGTCTTTTTTCGATATGATCAGTTTTGGTCATCAATTTAAAAATTAAGAATATATGGTTACTAATTAACATTATCGATAAGTTCTGCTTAAGTCTCTCCGCCGTTAAATTTTGTTAAAAGTTCAACACACCATTACAACCCATCAAGTTACCCCAACTGGCCAACACCAATCCTGTTACCATGTCTAGACCCTACTCACATCCATCTCCACCATATGATGAACAGTGTAACATAATCACATTACACAATCTCCTCTCCGATCATCCCTGCCTAGAGTATCCTAAAATACGCGCCATCGTATCAGTCTTAGGCACTGTCGATGACCTTCGAAAGCCACCATTTGTCCATTGGCTTCCTTCCACGAACCTTCTCGATTGGTTGGATCTGTTCTTCAGTTTTCAAGGTGACAACGTGAAAAATCGAAGGGACCTTGTTCTCCACTTGCCCGGCGCGCAAATGTGTCACTCTCATCCGGTCAACAATGTTGGAACCTTTCCAAACATTTTCATCTGAGAGTTTTGATGTCAGTTGATCGAGAATTACATAAAATGGTGTTGTTACCTCGTGCAAGCATCCAACCTTTGTGTGTCGTACAGCTCCAACTTTGATTCTGATAGTACTTGGTCTCGGAGAGAAATGATTTACATTGGACTTTACTTGTTGATTTGGGGAGAATCTACGAATTTGAAGTTCAAGAATGAATGTGTTTCTAAACTGCGTTAAGAAGTCATGGATTCTATCATTATCAGGCGAAAATGTATTTCTAAACTGCATTGTGAAGCCATATAACATCGAGGTGAGGAAAAGATAAAACAAAACTGCCTCTCCTGATAAATGGAGGAACTATGATGATTTCAACGAATACTTCTGGAGCAAGAAGTGTTTTCTTATTCTCAAATGGCTGCTCGATTTCAACCGAATGGATCAATAATATTAAGGACCATTTATCCTTAATTTTTAAATTGGTAACCAAAGTCGATCACACCGAAAACAAATGGGACAGTTCGTATAGTTTAGGCAAAAAAAAATTATTTGGTCAAAGAGATTTTGTTTAGTGAATCTAACGAATTTAAGATCAAAACAGTATTTTCTTATATTTCAAATAATGCTTGATGAGATGACGAAGCTCATGGATATTTGATTTCATTTGATGTGTGATATTATTATAAGCAAAGTTAACTCATGATAATCTTTTGGAAATGGTGACTAAGCCATTTTCTATATCCAAGTTTGAGAATTACTCTCTTGCTTAATGTTCTTTATTAAGAAAATATTACTTTTGGAAATAATATTATTGGAATATGATATTATTATAGGAATATTGTATTACTTTGTTAGGTTTATTTAGAATGAATGTAAAATTACAGTGTTTGGTTAGAGGAATATAAGATTACTTGAATGCATATTTTATTTAATTATCCTTGTGATATATATTTTTTTAAAATAAACTTTAAAATGAAAATTTATAGAAATATTTTAATCATTGTATTACCTAAATTTTGAGAAAAAATAAATTTAATATATAATTAGTATATTAAACTTATATTTTAAAATAATTTCCACAAATATCATATTTTTATATAAAATATAATAAAAAATAATATTATGGTCTTGGGTGGACAAAAGTATTATTTTTCAATGTCTAAGATCTATTTTTAATAACTTAACGTTATATATTATTTTAAATAATTACATTTTTACAATAATATTATTTTTCACCTCATAAAATATAAATAATTAATATATTGAATATTAAAAATATAAATAATTTTAAATACTCAAATTTATTAATATTTTACTAAATTAAACTCTTTGTATATTATTATTGTGTTTATAATTTTGAGTAAAGTATAAAAAATAAGAACCGAGAATAATCATTATAAAAAGAATTCATTAGTCTAAGGGTATTATTGTCCAAAGTGGTAAAAATTATCTAATACCTAAGAATTTGGAGGTAATAACATTCCAACCATTTTAACCAAAAAATTCTATTATTGGGAAAATATTATTCTTGGATAATAATCTTTTTCGTGAACTAAATATGAAAAATGTAATTCTGAAAAAATAGTATTCCACTTGGTAATGATCTATTTCGCGGACCAAACGCCCCGTTAAGGGTTTAGTGAAAGAGGTGAAGAATCTATTTTTTTTTTGTCGAGATTCAGATTTTTTTTGTCGCCTTATCTTGTACTTTTAAAATTCATTCCAATGTGGATACTTTTAGAGTTTGAGATCTGAAATCAATTTGGCTTGGTCCAAAAAGTTCATAGTGCGACTTGATTGGAAAAGAGATAAACTAGGGAAAATGTTGAAATGTGGCGAAGAAATAAATGCATACTAATCAGCCATACATTTCTTTGTCCTCTACATGGTGTAATTTCAGTACAAACAGATGAACAAAAGCAAGAACAGTTATATTCCAATCCTTGATTTCTCTTACTGATGACAGAGCTAAAGGAAATCGATGATAACGGACTCTTAACTACGACACCGATCGAAACGAGATGGTCAATCGGAAGCAAGAAAAGACGATTCACGGATTACTGTTCCATTCTCAGGTGGGACTGGGAGTGGGGCAATCGGTGATGCCAGGAGGGATACATCAATATGAGACTTACTAAGGGGCAATGGCATCTCGACATGATGTATGGCCACAATTCTCCCATCCTCCATCTCTACATTCACTGATTCCAAACCCAAAACACAGATTCTAAGATTAAACACTTCATCAGAGTTGTTTGAGACTGCAAATAGTCATTAAAAGATGAGATTCTCATAGGTACCTGGGCGAGACATCCACCACAGAGTGAAGAAGCAAATCAACACGACGACGGGAATGGCATGGATCCAAATCTCAGCCAATGGGAACACTCCGGAGCGAGAAGCTCCTCTTTCCTTCTTCGCGGGGTTTCCGGCCGGTATCGAAACTGGAAGTTGGCTGCCGCCTCTCATCATCTTAAACTCTTTTTTCTTTTCTTCAAGCTTCTCAAGAGAGATTGATTTGATGAAATAAAACATTTCAAGTGGCTTCTTGGATGAATATCTTAATAAGGATATGGGGTTTCAGTTAATCAGTTAGGGTTCTAACAACTTCTGGCGGGAAATCTTTTGGTAAGTGACTGGGTTTCACTTAATATACACTTCAAATATTATTTTTTTAATCCTTACTTACTCTTGCGATTGCTTTTCATGCCGTTTTATGATAATGCACAAAGGTTTTAGGTTAGATTTGAGAAGTTTAAGATAGTTTTCGGTAAAACATACATCATATTCATGTTTAGGAGGTTAAAATGAGTGAACTATAAATCTTATAGTCTAATGAGTATCGGTGAAGATGGAAGATCGACAGTTGTGAACAACTACCAATGATAAGAGATTTTGATTGAATACATAGATCATACTTATATTTTATTTAAAATATGTGAATAAAAATAAGGGTTAACTACATGATTGATCACTTTTGTTTATTTTTTGTCCACTTTCTTCAATGATTTCAATAAACATAATATTTGGTCACTTTCGTTTTTTAACTAAGATGTGGTCACTGAAGGTTAGCTATCGTTAGATCTTTAATAGATTGCTGACATGACACGTTAATAAAATGATTTAACTTTTATTTTAACCTTTGATCTTTAGATAAGAAAAACTATGGGTCTTTCTATAAATTAAAACACTTTAGGGATAAATTTTTTGGTCTTATTAATTCATAACATTATATCAATTATATATTTTTATTTTAAAACTATAATTTATTTTTAAAAATACTTTTTATACTGAAATGAATTATAGATATAAAAATCAAAACTCAAATAAAAATATAATCTATATATTAAACATGAGATTTATTTTTGCATAATTAAAATCTATCTATTTTTTCTATACCAAGGGTTATTTTGAAGTCCAAAAGCTAATATATTCGAACCATTGGAGTCAACAAAAATTTTGAGTTAGTCAAATTGATGAATTATATTTGTAACCAAATTTTATTTAATTTTTTTGAATTGAGTCAAATTGTTCGAGTCAAGTTTCTGATTAAATTTAATTGTAAATACTTATGGTGTTATGACACTAATTGATTTTAATTTAAATTAGTATAATCATATACGATACATATATATTTCTTCACGTGCGATATATATATATATCATGCAACGTTGAGAGACACAACTATAACTTAAAAATTAATCTACTAATTATTAAAAATATTCAAGTTATTTTTTGAATAAAGTTTTATGCACTCATTGTTTAATATTTATTGTACACTCAACCACCTTGGTTTCCCAATCTCGTCCGGATTATAAATGAGACCAGAAAAATCGAAAATTACTCGAGTTTAACTCAAAGCTTGACCAACACTAAATTTAAACTTGGCTTTAAACTTTTATAGTATGCATCCCTAATCTCTCCTACATTCCCTTTCATCCATCCGTTCTTTTTCTTTGTCAAAAGCCTTAACTGACCAAAAAATTCTCGAATCAGTTCAAAGCTCTCTCATGGGATTTCCAAGTCGCTTCCGACTCATTTCTCCTGTTTCTGTACTACTCAAATACATCCTTTTTACAAGCTTGACGGTTTTTATTGACGGTAATAAAGAGTACTGAGATAGTAGTGACTTACGCCTCGTGTTTCAAGGCATTAATTCCTCTCCCCAAACCTCATCAACCTTAACCACAATCGACTCTGAATAACAGGATATGTGTGTGTGTATGATTACAATAAACAACGAAAAACAAATGACCTCTTTTGAAAGCAATAAATTATAAACATAATATATAGTTTTGGGAAGGGTAGAACAGAAGTATAATTTAAATGGGGGGAAACCGTTTCCATCTTCCCTATGAAAGCCCAAAGCCTCTAAAAACCACTTGCAATCCAAAGTTGAATGAACATTTTACTTTGTAATCGTAACCATTTTGGCCTCCAACCTTCAACAATCTTTTTACCCAAAATCGACCTCCAAAAGCCTTCACGGGATTGGTTTCCGACCGGCTATTTTGCCCAAACAAGCAGATGCAGACACAATATGCAGGCAGAATATAATAGCTAATAATATTAAATTCATCTCCTTATTTACCAGCTTGTGCTCATTTCCAGATACTGCCTTTTAGGGAAAGTTATCAGAATATCATTCCTTCATGAGGGTGCCCAAGGCCAAGGATACCACACAATTCAACATGCCCATCGTCGAGGTGCAAACCAAGATTGCACAAACTCAGTCACTCTATTTCTTAGCTTATAGCAATATTGGCAATGAAACAACCAACTTGGTTCCAGAGAGCAATCACATCCCAAATGTTCTGTTGTACAGATCATCTGAAGTGGGCATCCTGTACTTTGAACCTTCGTACCCGGAATAGAACTTGTTAAATCCCAGTCTTTCATTTCTTAGGAGCTCCGCCACACCAAGACCATTTCCACCCTGGATCTCATTCCATCTGTCCCAATGACCATTTGACACATTATGTGTGTTTCTTGACTGTTGGAGACTCAACTGTGCAAATGGGGACATATTGTTAACTTGTGATTGATCCATGAGCCTCGAAGAAATTCCATAAGAATCGTTCAGACAAGAAAAGCTATCCCCAACATCATATCTTAGGTTCTGATGAGGAGAAAGAGATCTCTGCATCATTAGCTGGAATCTGGCCTCGTTTTCATTGGGACCCAACTGTTGAGCAAAATTTGATCTCATGTCTAAGCCTGGATCGTTGAGCCCTCCCTGAATTATACCCTTACCAACTGCCAAAATTGCTGGATCTATAAATTCTATATCCCCAGGGCCACCAATACCACCACTTTGAGGAGCCTGATAAGAATATCTTAATAGGGATGAAGAGTCCATCAAATGATTTCCTATAGTAGAAAGCAGTCAACATTAATTTTTTGCAGGCAAGCAACTCCCAAAATCAAAAGACAAGAGAAAAAAATCTTACCAGATGTGGAGTCAAAACCATGGTTTACTCTCTCAATTGAAGAAAAGCCTGGAGGCGGTGCCCTGCTACGAACAGAGAATCCTGGTGGGGCTGAAATTTGAGCACTTGAAGGTGTCAGGCAACATTAAGTGATGAACTAAAATCAAAACCAAAATTGGATAGATCTAAAAGTAATGAAACAAAGAAATGATGTTCCGCATGGACAGAAATAAACAAATCAACTAGATACTTGAGTTCGGGAAAAACACACATTTTGGGCAAAGAAGATGGTACATCACATACAATTTCAAAATACAATTTCAAAAAGCCATTTACAAGTTACAACTAATAATCCATGATGTTACAGAACACGTTGTGACAATGGTTGTTGCATGGTTGTAGTTTATTGAAACAAACAGTGAACGAAATATTCAGACAGCAAGAGTGAAGTTCAATTAGAAACAAGAATTCAACTAAGATTAGCTGGAGCAAAGTAAATTTCTAGACACTCACCAGAAAGCTTACTGGAGAAAATTGGACTGCTGGAAAAATTGTTGGATTCCTCAAAATTACAGGAAGCTAAACCATCAGAAACTCCAATTTTGCATAGATATGAATCCCTGCTGTCTGCAAGATCTTGACTGGGTCGGTTCTGTGGCATTTGCCCAAAAACACTAAAGGAGGACTCAACATCAGCTGGGAAATTTTTAGAATCCTCCTGTCTCGCAAATGAGAATCGAGACTGATTATTATTTAGTGTTTTCCTTGAACTAGATAGTTTGAGAGTATTGGGCTGCTGCTTCTCACCGTCTCCCAACAATTTCACCAAGTTCTGTGGTGAAGTTAGAGACTCCCCTGTATCAAAATCTAGTGACAATATGTTTGAAATTATGTTGATCTCCCCTGTATCATTAGTAGCATTGCTCTCAGCATTAACAAGGAATCTTCCCAACTGCTTCCCTTTCTCTTCATTTGAAAGCAGAGAATGACGTTCTGTGGTAATATCAGAACCAATACTACTGCTTATGTACTTAAGGTATCTATTAGACCAAGAAGAAACATCAGCTCCAATAAGACATGAACTATCAAGAGCTTTATTATCTACAATGAGAGTATCGGAATTCAAATTAACAGCACCAAAAGCATCACCATGTTGCAGAGAATGAGACCTAGTATGATCTGCCAAGTGGAGCGGGATTGGTGAATTTGGCACATAACTTGAACGACTAATCACTTCTGGATCCTTGAGTCTCTGATTATCAAATGATAGTACATCTTCCTCTACTTCAGAATTTATATTTTCCACAGCTTGAGTATGTGCATCAATTTCCCAGAGAGGCTGCTCTTTTGAAACAAACACCACATTGGGAGAGGTCACAGATATCCCAGCAGTTGCTGAACTTAATGGTTCTCGATAGTAATCAGTATAACATTGTTGTAACCCCTGACTGCTAGGTGAACTGCTAGTTCCATGCTCAGAAGCTGAACTGCTTGGTCTAACTTCCTCAGAATGTCCATTCAAGACACTCCTATCTAAGGTCAATGTTGACATATCAGAGCACAACCTCGATGTGTTCCCATCAGCAGAGGAAATACTCCCCACTTTCTCACCAGAGGAAATAGAAGTATGGCCACCATGATCAAAGGAGTTTGTAATAGTTGATGGCATATTAGTGCCCTGGTGATCATGATTGGATGATGGTTTAGGAGATAACTGACTGATCAATGATTTAGAAGCAGTTACTCCATCGGATGAAGAAGGTTTGTCTAGTGCAGTAGTTTGACAATCTAAACCAGTATTCTGCTTTGAAGGTTTTGACAAATCAGGTTTACCCTTTATAGGCATAGCATGAATCTCCTCAGATGGCTTTTTTACAATATCGGCATGTAATGAGCAAGCTTGATTGGTGTCTGTTACTGCAGATGAAAATTGTAATGCACTGCTGACTGTATTGGAATTCTGCTTAACAGGTCCATTTGAACATGCTAAACCAGCCAGTTGTGGTTGATTTGAAGCACGCATCCCCCTGGCAGAATGATTCAGAACTTTTAGCACCAGCAATTAAAAGAACAATTTGTCAAAGAACAAATCAAATAGCATACCATGATACTCCAGCAGGGAGAGTAATAGATCTACCATAGCTTCCATTTGGAGGAGAACTTTTAGGAACAGTCACTGTTGCGTTCTGCACAATATATAAAATAACAACCAGGTTAGGTGTAGGAACCAAGGCCAAGTATGAATGGTGCTTCGATTCATTGCCACCTCAACCCATTCATGCTACTATTTTATTACAATTATTCAAGATTAAAAATACACACTATTAAGAAGTTCGGCAAAAATCTGCTAGCAAGCAGAGCAGAACTTGACTATTTTCCTAAGCTCTGTGTACTATTTTACCTGCCAATTTTTGTTTGGGAATTACAAACGTGAACTTACTTTTGGAGCACTTGCAATTGGTTTAGCTGCAGAAGCAGAACTATTGGGGCAGTAATCATCCACTGGTGGAGGTAACATATTTCCAGGACGCCGTTGCATATTGTTTGTTGCACCAGTTATTTGCTGAACCCTACTTTAAACAACTAATTAAGTTATAAATCATGCAGAATTTTGAGCAAGAAACCTGAATGCATGCTTAGAAATGAAATGTTGCAATAAAAAGCTCAAAGAAAGTGCAAAGAAATCTAAATTTGATTTGAAACCCCTATTTGAAAAGTGAAGACTACAATAGTAAACATATATATATATTTTTTTGATAGAAGAGTAGGCCTCATTAAAACCCCCTTCTAGCCCTCCATGTTATGAGAGTAACATGAAGGATCAAGGAAGAAGGAAAATAGTACCTAGAACATTTTATTCATAAAAACCATAATACATAGTTATAGCATAACATACTCCAAAACCTCCAACTGAAGAACATAAGACTTAACTCCCAAACCTTACAACAAAGGAAATTACATTTCCTACAAAACAACACAACCAATATAAACCAAGAATCACCCTATCCCATCTTTAGCTAGTTTATCAGCTTCTCAATTTGCCGCCCTCAAAATATGCTTAATAATAATGTCCCTTCTAGCCAGTAGCGCAACTACATCGTTCACCAAGGAAAGAAACAAAGGGGGGCATAAACCCGTATTCTTGATCCACTTCAAGGCATTCATTGAGTCAGTTTCCAGAATAAACCTCTTAATAAGAACATAACCTTGCTCTTCCAAAAGACAAAGCCCCCTCCTAATCGCCAACAACTCTGCCATGATAGGAGGACCTCCCCCTACTGGTTCAGAGAACCACTGAAGCAACACACCTTTACTATCCCGAATCAGACCACCAATAGCTCCTTTATCCCAACCCGATACCATCGCTCCATCAACATTTAGCTTTAAGAACCCGTCCGGGGGAGGAACCCAGCAAGAAGATTGAGAGCAGTCTTGTCGATGTTTTCCCCTCGAATCGGCAAGTTTTAAGTCACCTAATAGCGAATCTAAAGGAATAACCACATCATTAAACCTTGCAACAAACCAGGAAGCTACTCTAAATCGAATGATGAAAAATAGTCTGACCAAATCCAGCTTTCCATTCTGAAAGATAATCTCATTTCTACATTTCCACACTGACTACATCATTGCCCTTGGAATAAACTTCCAGATCGAAGATTTAGGCATTAAATCATCCCACAAAATGAAAAAATCAGTGATATGCTTTGGAATCACCAAAGACACATTCCACATTTTCAAAAATGTTGACCACAGGCCCCACGCTATCTTACAATGCAGAAATAAGTGTGAAACTGATTCCACTTCAGTACCACACAATACACATAGATGATCAATCATCTCTGTCACACATCTCTTCAATAATTCCTCTTTAACCGGCAATCTCTGATGCGCTACTTGCCAAACAAACATTTCCACCCGTGGAGGTGCAATCCCTACCCAGATATGCCTTTCCCAATTCTCCTGATTCTGCCCAGACCCATCTTGATCAATGAAGGTGTTTATACAAGATTTCGCAGTAAAACATCCATCTCCATTCCCTAACCAAATCCAACAATCATCAACATCAGTAAATAGAGAGATATTATTCAACATAGAAAGCAACTGTAACCACTGCTCAATTTCCCAATCAGCCAAATTTCTTCTCATTTGGATGTCCCACACCCACCCTGAGTCATTATTCTCCCCAAACTCCATCACTTTGCCCTCTTTATTGTTAGAAAGAACATAAAGTCTAGGAAACAGAACTTTCAAGGGAACTTCACCCAACCAAACATCATTCCAAAACTCCACAGATACCCCATTCCCTGTCTTCAAACGCATATTCCTTCTAACACAATCTCCAAACCCATCATTGTTGAAGAAGTTTTTAACCACACCTTTCCAAATCCACGATGCACGGCCTATCCAAGACTTTCCCATCATAATGGAATTAGAATCCAAATTATAAACACCACACACCACTCTCTTCCACCAAGACTTCTTTTCTGATGCAAACTTCCATACCCATTTCCCTAGCAAAGCTCTGTTCAACAGTGATAAGTTTGGGATCCCTAGACCCCCCAATTTTTTTGGTTTAGTAACCAACTTCCAGTTGACCCAATGGATTTTTTTCTTATCTGCCGAACCCCCCCCCCACAAAAATGAAGCCATGATAGAATTTAGTTTTAATAACACAGAAGCTGGAATTCTGAAAATGGACAGAAAATAGACGGGTAGAAAGCAAAGTACCGATTTGACCAACACCACCCTTCCTGCTAACGACAATGAATTAGACATCCACCCACTCAATTTCGCATGAAATCTCGCCACTATTGGCTTCCACAAAGCCGTCGAGTTCCTCTTGTACCCTAAAGGTAAGCCTAAATACTCTGATTGAAGATAACCTACCGAGCAGAGAATATCATTTGCCCAAGTAGCCAGCTCTCCATCCTCAACATTAATACCATAAATCCTGCTTTTAACTAAATTAAGCTTCGACCCCACCAAAAGCTCATAAATTAGTAGCACTCTTCTAACATTCCTCAAATCACAGATAGAACCCTTACTGAAGATTATAAGATCATCCGCGAATTGTAAATGTGATAACTTAAATGCCCTGTCATGAACTCCTAAATCAAAACCCGAAAAAAGTCTCATTTCTACAGCTTTAGTCAACAAAAAATGCAACAACTCCGCAGCCAAATTGAACAGCAAAGGCGAAAGCGAACATCTCTGTCTTAGTCCCCTAGCTGTTTTAAATTTCTCTGTATGTGACCCATTAACCAAAACCGAAATTGAAGCTGTTGACATACATTGAAACATCCAAGACCTCCACTTGTCACCAAACCCCATTTTGCTCATTACTTGCATCAAAATTGCCCAATCAACCGAATTGTATACTCTCTTAAAATCCACCTTGAAGACAACTCCCTTCAACCCTTTCTTTCTCCAAAAGACAATACTTTCATTTGCAATAAACGAGCAGTCCAATATGTTCCTCCTAGGAATAAAAGTGAATTGAGACGGGCTAATAATATCATTAATACACAAACTCAATCTTCTAGCTAAGACCTTAGAAAGAACTTTATATAAACCCCCACTAGACTAATTGGCCTAAAATCATCCAACCCCTCCGGATTTGCTTTCTTAGGAATAAGGGAAATGAAGGAATAATTCACCTCCAACTCCCACTCCTTTCCCACAAAAAAATCCTTAAAAACAGCATCACATCTTCCTTCAAAAAATTATAGAACTTCTTAAAAAAAACCTAAATTCAGACCATCTGGACCCGGAGCTTTATTACTATCTGCATGAACAATAACTTCCCAAACTTCCTCTTCAGTAAATGGCTTCTCCAATGCTGAACACTGACCATCCGAAAGCTTAAGAAATTCCAGATTTAATTCCTCTGCCCCCAGTGTGTTTTTTTTTTACTAAACAGCCCCTTGAAGAACTCCACCACTTCGGCTTTAATTGAACTAGGATCTTCTATGACTTCATTATCAACTTTGAGGAATTTAATACAATTTATCCTCCCTCTAACTGCTGTACTGTGATGAAAAAATCTAGTGTTCTTATCACCCTCCAAACTCCATTTCAACCTAAACTTTTGTAGCCAAATCGATTCTTCCTTCTTTTGTAGCTCCCATAATTCTCTCTTTGCTTTCACAATATCATCATTGACCCCCTGGAAATCCCTTGTTGCAAATCCACTTCCATTTCCTGTATAGCTTTCTCCAACATCCTGATTTGTCCTGGTAGCTGAAGATAACCCTTACTAGACCATTGCTTTGCCTCGTCCTTCACCCGGTTAAGAATTTTGGAAATGGGCATTGCATTCTCCTTAGTACCGAATTTAAGAAGCTCCTTCACCATCTCACTAAAACCTTCCTCTTCCAACAATAATTAAACCTAAACGGCTTTGGCCCCCAATTACATTCCTTATTCTCCAGCACAATAATATTGTGGTCTGAAACGGACCTTGGTTGCAATATTTGACTCATCTTGGGAAAATAAGAAAAATAATTCTGGTCAACCAAAAACCGATCCAACCTCTCAAAAGTGGCAATTTCCCTATTATTACACCACGTAAACTGTCCTCCGACTAAAGGCAAATCAATTAAATTCGCCCTTGAAACAAAATCTCGAAAAAGACTCATTGATATCGAATTCAAAGCACCTCCCCTTTTCTCATCCCGAGTCAAAATGGCATTGAAATCTCCACCTAAGCACACTGGACACTCTACCTGATCCAGAAAGGAAGATAATTCCCTACAAAAAATCTCCTTATCAGCCTCTACACTTGGACCATAAACATTTACAAAGCAAATATCTGGTCCACCATCCATCCAACCCTTTATTGCCACAAATCTACTATGGATAACCTCTTCCTTAACCACAAATACCTTCTGGTTCCACAAAGTTATTAAGCCACCAGCAGAACCTACAGCAGGCACCACCACCGAACTAGTAAGAATTTTGCCTCCCATTTTCCTTACTAACAAAGAACTGACCTTTTCCAATTTAGATTCTTGAAGAAATAAAAATGTAGGTTTTTTCTCCTCAACAAATCTCCTAATAGCTCGAGCTTTGACCTTCCTACCCAAACCCCCAACATTCCAACACATAATAGACCACTCTACCATCAAACTTAACTTATTACCATAATCCCATGATCCAACCACCTCCTCTTAATCATCTCTATCCTTAACCATATAAGCAACTTTGGACACAATCTTTTTCTCCTCCTTTAAATTAGACCCCCAACAATTTCGAGACATTCCAACATTCTAATGCTTTTGCCACCCCCTGTTCCTCATTATCAGAATCGCAATCAGCATCCTTACCACCACAACTTTTAACATCCCACCTCCTAACATAAACCTTGTTATAGAAACCTCTATCAGCTTTACTAACTGACGCACTTCTCCCAGAAGGACGACGCTGAGTCGCATAAACATGCCCCGTCTGCATACCATCTTCCTATGTAACATTTTTAGGATCTGCAATCTTATTCCCATTTGTATTTTGTATTGGACTTTCCTGCTCAGGCCCAAACACCAGTAGTCCACCCTTGCTGGAAATCAGCCCATCATCTTGGACTACTTTATCTTGCCCCGAGGTGCCTCCCTCTAAGCTGGACACTCTTTTTCTCCCTTCAGAAAAAGCCCCCGACATTTTTTGATTATTGTAACCTTCCCCTAGTTCTGTCCCCTCACTCCCAATGTCAACACTACAACTCTTATTTACTTCGTCCTTATTTTTCAAATTTCCCTCGTTAAGTGAACCACTCCCCTGTGAAGTACCACGAACCCACTCAACCTGATTCCGAGATTCTAACATCGGCTGAATATTCAACTGCTCTTGCAGACCTCCTCGATCATCCCCTTTGCTCCCTTTCGACGAGGTCTCCTCCCAAGGATCCACTGTTCCTCCTCCTGAACCATCTTCCTCAACCCCATCATCAAGCTCAGGAAAGAAATCCTCGCTACTTTCCACCTTAATCTTAATAATAAAAGACCTACCATAAGTATTAATGGTGACATGAGGAATGTCAAACGGACTCTCAACCCTTAACAACATCTTAGCCACCCTGCAATTTGTTCTTTGAGCCGTTTGCTCCTGAATCTTCACTAGTTTGCCTCATCTCGACGCCAAACTGGTAAAGAATGAAATTGACCAACAATTTAATGGAACATCGATCATGAATACTGCACAAGGTAAAGGAACACACTTCTCCTCCATCACAGGTTCCAACCTTTCAAACCAGAAGGATAAGGCCTCCCATTTAACTTCCATCGCTGCAACCTTCTCTTCCTCCGACTGGAATCCTATCAAACATGCATTTTTCGCATATCCCCACCTAACCACCTTGACATTAATTCCTTCATTTCTTAAAGCCCTCTACACAAATTCAACCTCAAAAATCTCTTTGCAGATACCAGTTAAAGACGATCTTAACCATGACATTTCCTCCATTGGAATGAACACTTCCAAAGGCTTCTTCTCCTCCCTCTTATCTCCAAAACTTCCTTCTATTTTGCCCATAACTTTTTTCACACCCACTACCGTATCCTTGTATGTTCTACCATCATGGAACCTGTTCAGCATCTCCTTTTTTCCTGCCTCAGCCTCTTGACATACTGCACTTTTCCTTTTGAATATCCCCCACCTACACCTCCAATCTATGCAACACCATTGCTCTTCAAGTTCCCCGGAAAACTACTCTGATATTTCGCAGTCGACACCGATATTCTCCTCCCATCAACGAAGACGTTGTTCATCTTCTCCTTAGCGTTAAACAAATCCTCCTTGCTTGCAAAGTGCACAAAGGCAAACGTCTTATCCTTATAATTCGGTCTCCTATTAACAGATGGAATGAACACTTTAATCACCTTGCCATGAAGGCTAAAACGATCTCATAATACACTTCTTAGCACTCTCCTACTAAGATTATCTACGAATGCCACCCACGATTCACCTCCAGACACCACTCTACCTAATCCAAAAGTCTCCGTGCCAATCAGCTCCTCTCTCACTCTCGCACTAACTTTCTCACTCATGTTTGCTTCCTTAAAGTTATTACTCACAATAGTAAACATATTTTATTAAAGAAGAAAACCCTTTGACGTCTGGTGCTTGCAAAAAGAATGAGTGAGGATCCAAGGGCCCATTTGTTATTTTGTTTAGAAAGCCAACAACACTTTCTCACCCAATAAGAAATAAAGAACGCTCAACTTTTCGCGGAAAATATTCTAAATATTCTTTATACACGTCCTTTTTGTGCCAAACAGAAAAGCCAAATAATTGAGCTTTATCGCTTTGCAAATTGCGGGGGTAATTTATATTTTTAATCTTCAACCTAAGAACAAAACTATGTAGTTTATTTCTTTCTTCTTTTTTTCATTAAGCTAAGCTAATCGCAAAGTAGTATTTGTTCTAAGTACTCTCAACCATTTGACAATGAACACTCAATCACCCGAGCGGTCGCTGGTGCTCGAACCTGTGACCTCTAGGAACAGCAACGATCCCTTTAACCACTGAGGTAGTTTATATCTTTCATATTTCTTCTATTATTACTTTTCTTCATCTTTTTATTTTTTTCTTTATTAATCATTTTATTATATCATATGTTTACAAATATATATTTGTTCTTTTCTTTTGATAGATAAACCAATTCTTTCTACTTGTTTGTTAAGTTAGAAAAATATTTGTATATGTTATTTAAATTGATATATTTCATTTATTATAATATTAAAGAATTTAATATCATTTAAATTATTTTATTTTCATTTTATAATACCATGTCTAAAATAGACAAAAGGACTTTTTGACAGCGATTCTGAACAGTAATATTTTAAACTGTACTTTTCAAAAGCAATGCAAACTATCCCCACGAAAACCCAATGGGAGGCCAGAACCTTTTTGAAGCATCATAATGACACGCCAAAATTCCAAAGAAATAAAACTTCCCAAAACACTCTTTGCAGATGTTAAAGTTCAGATAATAAATGCCATTCTAACATACTTTCCAATATAATGGGGCATATTATATAAAGGCTTTCTCTAAGAACATGATGGCACCCGTTCACATGGGCTGCCATAAAAGGTATACGTGCGTGTATATGTCAGCTCTAATTGTTTAAACTAAAAAATGAAGAATGAAATTATAATGAGTGCCGACATGCATTCATTAAAATCAGAGAAGATCTACTTGTTGATTTACTTCATCTCAAAAAGAAGTTGCATGTACAAGAGAAAAAATACAGAAGACAGGCAAACCCAATACCTTGTGTAGGCTGATATAATTTCATCTTTTGTGAAACTATCCTCTTGAGGACCAATCTCATGCAAATATAGACAATCAGGATTGGTGCAAGGCTGCAACCCAAAAAGAACTTGATTATTCCTCTATTACAGTAACAAAGCATATTATGTTTACGAGTATATTATTACCATCATTGATTCCTTCCTATTTTGCAATTTTACAATCTGGCAAAATCACAACATTTCATAAAACCATTACTTAAATTATAGATTTATTATTTTGTTTTGACCATAATGCTTATAAACATCAATATTAGTTTTATTTTCATAATGATCTAAATGTATAAGATCATCATTTGTTATGGCACAGTGTTCTTTTCAATTTTTAATTCAAATCTTTTCTTTTCATTTACATGTTGAATATTTTACTGTGACTAATGATTTCAAACTATTTTGGCAATTAACTAAATGAAGTCTCGACCAATTTGAAGAGAAGGTAGAGTATAGCCTTTTGAGTAAAATATCATATATTAGTGTCTCAATTTTCATACAACTAATTTTTATTGTAATTTATATTACTACTAGCAACAACAATGAATTTACTTTAATTCACAAAATAAATTAACCAAAAATCACTTCTAAACATACCACGTTTCTCAACCATGCATGACAATACTTTGTTGTACCAAAGCATGCCCTGAAATGAGCATGTCAAGCATTAGAGAAGACAACCATAACCGCATATGCATTCAATCACTAACAAAAGAAATAACTCCACAAACACATTCTCATACTTTAATGGTCTACCGTCCAAGTTAAATCCATGTACGGACTGGATACAACGAATCGCTTCCTCTTCTTTTGAGTACGTAATATATCTGTTTACAAACGTAGTTTGAAAAAATAAATTTCTAAGTTACAGAGGTTCAGAAAAGAGGCAACAAGAACACTACAAAATGGTAAGATATACATGATGGAATGACTTCTATTAAAAAAACAATGCATAAAACAAGGTCTTAATGTTTGTAAGACTTAAAATCAAATACATTAGATAATGTACTTACACACTACATGTATTGTTTGGAAATTGCTGAATGACACCAGCTGCAGTCCGAGACATAGATACTTTAAGAACTTTACCGTATTGACCAAAATAATCTCTACATTGGAGAAGCTGCACAAAAGAAATGTTTGCTTAGGTCAAATATCATCACTAGATTGCAGATGTAGAAAGTAAAGATGGAAAGGGAGTACCTCCTCATCTGCCAGATTAAGTGGCAACCCCACAATGTAAACAAGATTCTTCTGAATAACTCGCACGCTGCTCAGGTGCTTCCTTGCTTCAGATGATTTAGATTTTGCTTTCTGCGACTTCGTTTTTCTTTCCATATTGAATTCAGCAACCAACCTGCATATTGAAACAACATACATGAGACGATTGCAGGCAAATACTGCAATATATTTAATGAGAATAAAAAGCGAGGGAGCTTAACAACCTCTCACAATTAGCAGTCGTCCCTACTATTCTGTCTTTATCATAAGCACTACGACATGCTGGACACCTCCCCTCTGTACTATCCTTCTCAGCCATATTCATTATGTGGTGCCAACACCAAACACATATCTGCCTCAAAGATCAAAAGAGGTAAGGCCTATGACACAAATTATCACCCCCTTTTTCCAATTCGATATTTCTGTATCACATTTTTACTTCTTTTCCGGTTTTCTTGTATGCACAAACAAATGAAATAAACTTTTTAGAAGAAAAAAAAGAAATAAATTCAGACCTCGTAACCACATTTGCAAGGCTTCAGTTGCTGATCAGTAATATCCATCTCTTCCGCACAAAGGGGACAGGTCTTTTCTCCCTCATCACTCATGATTGCCTGAAACCTCAAAACAAATAAATAACTACATAATGACAAGAATACTATTATATTCCACAAAGTCGCTGAAACCTTAATTGAATTTATCAAAATAATTTACCAGAACTCCCAAAAATCCCATTCAATTTACACAAAAAATACTGCAACCAAAACCTTACAATTTTTTGATAAATCGCATAAAAATTCCTGTTTCAGACTTAAATAATCTGAACCCCAAATTTCCAGAACAAAAGGAAAAACTAATCAACAAAATAAGCGTCGAACAACTAGAAGATAAAAATAAAGGCACCTACATAAATATCAAAAGAACAAAAATGAATTCAAAATCCAATACCAAGAAAAATCGAATTCCCAATCCAATGACAAATCAATGATTGCCTACATGCAATACAATGAATCAATAAAAACAACACAAAATAAAGAAAGCACCTCATGAATCGCCATATCTTATATATTTCAAACAGGGTAATAGAAATCATGGATCTTGAAAGATAAACATCGAAGCGCAAAAATTGATAATTTAGGGTTTCAGGTTCAGAGATAAGGGACTTACAGATAGGTGCAGATCGACAAGATAATGAATCTGTGAAGAAGATGGGATAGTTCAGAAAGACAACACCACCCCGCCAAGAGAAATCCACCAAAGAAATTGAGAAAGATAAAGAAGGGTTCTTTTGGATTTCTGGTTCGCTTTTATTCATTTCCATTCTTGCTCATTTAAATATCGGTGAACTTCGTACTTTTGCCCTTGCATTTTGTTATTATTACGAGATTTTGCCCTTGCCCTTGCCTTTCCGATTTTGTCTAGTTTTTTTACCTTATTTTTTGCTGAGCGGCTCTGCTGAGAAAGGGTCCCTCTCTTGTGTTTGGTCACGATGTCCGCCACGTTGATATTCTATGACGTCAACGGTTGCGATTTATCCATGGATAAATCTGTTTCATCCTCTAGATCGCAGACCAGTTTACGCGGGAAAACCTATATCTATTCAATTAGAAAAAAAATTTCTGGTTGCAAATATCATCTATTATTTTAAATCATAAACAATATTACTTTGATATTACATAAATTTTAAATTCAAAATTAATATTATTTTATACCTTTATAATTTTAAAATAAATAATTAAAAAATAATATTTTTTATCTTTTCATTCTCGATATAATCTTTAAATAAAAGAACTAAGATATTAAATATAGTAATAACGAAAAAGATTTATATGAATCTTTAATAGAACATAATTACAACATAAGTTAGCTAACGAGGGTACACAAATGGTTATGATTCAGGAATTATAATGGTTGATTTTAAAAAGAAACAAAATTTTATCAAATTTCGAGTAGTATATGTTTTATACGACTAATGTGGCATATTTGACTCGTATACGGGTACATATATGAGTTAAGGGTGTTACACTTGCCCCTTTCTCCAACGTATATGTTGGAATCTATTTTAATCACTTTTCCGATCAACTCCGCAATATGTTGGAAAGCGATGAAATATGATTTGGAAAATATTTTGATTTTGGAGTCGCCACCAACCATTAAGTTAGGTAGGTTGAAAACCTTAAATGTAAAAAAAATGGTCTGTGTTTTACCAAAAATTCATTTTTAAGAGTCTGGGAGTCGATTACGTGTGGGGAAAGGTGAGCACCCCCACAACGTCCAAATTTTGGTACCTAAACGATTATATGTTGTTTAAATATTGAAAATTACAAACTCGAAAATATATTTAAATTACGATCCTTTTATTAATTTGAATTTATTTAAAAAGTGTCAATTTTTAGATAATTAATGCCCTTATGTGTGAATAATCTTCGGGAAAGCACTTCCTTTGCAGTTAGGAGACTTTCACATATATTACCCTCACCGAAGACATTATTTCGCATTTTTTCGCAATGATAAAATAAAATAAAACAAAATAAAAGTGAAAAAAGTTAAAAGATAATCTAAATAAATAAACGTGGAACAAAGATAATTATAGAATACAAAGCAAACGTTTATGCGAAAAACCCTTGAAAATTCATCTTCCCTTATAGTTGGGAGATGTCTTTGTAGATTTCCCACACAATGAAAATTTCCATTTACATACATACATGAAATTATAACAATTGATAAAACAAAGTTACAAATTTGGACCAATATACACATTTACAAATATGATAAATTAAAAGATAAATTAAAACACAAATTAAAATTAGACATGCTTAGTAAAATAAAGGACTAAATAGCAAAAATAGAAATTTACAGGACTAAAACAACAAAACAAAAATTTCAAGGATTAAAAAAATAAAAACAGAAATTAAAGGGACTAAAAACATAAATATCACAAACCAGAGCCCAAAAACGAAAATACTAAACATTATAGGTACTAGAAATGAAAATAACCCATAAATCAAGTTTAGGACTAAAATGAACTAATCAGAAACATGGAGGACTAAACAATAATTAAACCTAAATACAACAATGACTAAAATAAACTATATACAGATGTCATGGCCAAATTAGAACATCAACGAAAATAAACAATACGCTAAAACAGTGGCTAAAATGAAATAATTAAAAGTATCATGACCATATTTAAATAATCACAAAAATATGTAAGATCAATGACTAAAATGAACTAGCCTGAAAAGTGTTCTACTTAAATATAAATAAACTAAATTACAATGAACTAGGCTCAAATATAAACATAAAAGTATTTAAAGATAATAAAGGACATAATTACAACAAACATAAAATAGAAGCTTAAAATAAAAGGAAATAAAAGTTTCATTGATGATTGATAACACACGTTACAAATGTGGAGGGACCCTAAATGTAATTATCCCCCAAAAAGTGAGAAACATAGAGGAAGGTTACGAAACTACGAGGACCTATGATGATATTAACCCATTTAGCAAAACACGCATACCCTCCCCTGTTCAAAACGACGTCTACATCATCATAAGGGTTATTTTAAAACCCTAAACTCATTTCATACCCACCCTTCACCCGACCCCTCTCTCTAATCTCTCCATCATTTTCTTTCTCTCTTCATATCCCCGTCGCCGATCAAAGCAAAACAAAGCCTCGGCCACCGTAAATCGGTGGCCACGGGGTTAATACATTCGAAGAGAGTCTTTTAAAACCCACCTTACATCTCAAAAACCCCTAAACTACACCTTCAAAGCCTTTTCGACGAAAAAAACCCCTAAAATCCCAAAAGTAAGCTTTTTCCTTCAATGGTGGCGTAATTTTGGTCTCAGTGACACTCACGGCGGTGATTGCTCAAAAGGTGGAAGCTTTCAGGTCTTCTCTTTTTCTTTTTTGTTTGATTTTGTTTCTCTCGTTTTTTTCTTCCCTTTTTTTCAACCCTCACCGAATGCTCATCCTCTATTTATAATCTAGTTTTCTTTTATTTCTGGTTGCTTGTTGGATTTGTTTTGGTCAAATAATGATATCTAGAACGATAGGGGATAATGTTTTCAGATTTGGGTTGGTAAAATCCCTAAAATTTTTGGAATATTGGGTATTTTAAAAATGGGGGTTTTGATTTGGTTATGATATGGACTGATTTGGGCACTGTAGATGATACTTTTGCATTGTTTCGTGTAGCCCAATAACAACGGCAGTGTGGGATTGCTCGACGGTGGCTTACGCGCCGGTATGGAGAAACGCGTTCATCTCACGCGCCGTTGGGATGGTTGATCTTCTGTGGTGACTACTGATTAGGGTATAAAAACCCTAATTTGTTCGAGTTACAAACGTGTCGGGTTTGGGTCGGACCTTGGGCATGGTACTAGGTCGGGTCTACTGGTGGGTTTATATTATAGTGGGCTATTGTTAATGTTGGAGTAGTGGGCTGTTGAGCCTACAAAATGTAATTAAAATTTATTAATAAAAATAATAACAATAGTAATAGTAATAATAATAATAATAATAATAATAATAATAATAATAATAATAATAATAATAATAATAATAATATTTTTATAGACCCGGACAAAAATGAGTGTCTACAGATGCCCCTCTTTGCACATTCTTGTGTTAATAAGAATAGGGCAAAGATGAAAAATACAATCATTTTTTGTCCGATTATCTTCTTCTTTTTTTTTGCTTAGAAATTGGATATATTTGTTAGTGGGGACAACACTGCTGATACGCGATGAAAAGTTCTGGTTGTCTAAGGGTGACACGGCTCCTACATAATGTAGAGTTTTGGCCATCTTTAGAAAGGGTGATAACGCGGTTCCTACGTGATGAGGACAGCTGGTTATCTAGGGGTGACACGGCTCCTACGTGATGAGGAGATCTGGTCGGGGGATGACAATACTCATATGTGATGAAGAGTTCTGGCCATCTTTAGGAATGGTGATAACACGGTTCCTACGTGATGAGGACAGCTGGTTATCTAGGGGTGACACGACTCCTACTTGATGAGGAGATCTAGTCGAGGAATAACATGGCTCATACGTGATAAAGAGTTCTGGCCATCTTTAGGAATGGTGATAACACGGTTTATACGTGATGAGGACAGCTGGTTATCTAGGGGTGACACAACTCCTACGTGATGAGGAGATCTGGTCAGAGAATGACACGGCTCATACGTGATGAAGAGTTCTGGTCATCTTTAGGAATTGTGATAACACGGTTCCTACGTGATGAGGACGACTGGTTATCTAGGGGTGACACGGCTCCTACGTGATGAGGAGATCTGGTCGGGAAATGACACGACTCATACGTGATGAAGAGTTATGTCCATCTTTAGGGATAATGGTTTTAAGAGAAACCGACTCAAAGATGATGTTTAAAAAGAAACAGAATCAAAGATGATTTTGTTAAGAGAAATTATCTCAAGAGAGACAAAATTTTGTTTCGAAGGAAATGACTCAAAGATTGTTTTGTTTTAATATAAATAGACGCAAAGACTTTTGTTTCAAGAGAAACAAACTCAAAGATATTATCTCAAGAGAGACAAAATTTTGTTTCCAAAGATGGGTTATGTCTCAAGTGAGACGAAATTTGTTTTAAGAGAAAAAGATTCAAAGATTGTCGATTTTGCTTATAGGGAAACAATCTCAAAGGTGTTTGATTTGTTTCACAGGAAACAATTTCAGGATTTTTGTTTAAAGGAGAAATTGTCTTACGCGAGACGAATCGGTTTTGAAAAGCTCAAGTGATATTAATTTTGTTTTAAGTACAAAAACTTTGAAATTTACATCTCAGAGAAAAAATGTCTCAAGCGAGACACAATTTTTTTTAGAGAAACTGTCTTAAGCGAGACAAAATTTGTTTTAAAATTTTCAAAATTTGTGGAAAATGTCTCAAGCGAGACATAATTTGTTTTTAAGAGAAAGTTTTCTCTAACGAGATAAAATTTGTTTTTAAGAAATTTGTCTCTAGCGAGACGACACTTTGTATTTTTAATAAGATAATATCAAAAGCTCATAGTTTGTCTATTAATTACTGCATGTTGAGGAAACATCTTTAGAAAATCTGATCGTTGACTTTAGGAAATCAAATCTGTGGATGGCATTGTTCTTCCTAAGTTAGAGACATTTGGTCATTTTCAAACCTTTATTCCCTGAAAAATCAATAATGCATTTATAGATAATGTGCTTGATTTGATGAATTGTTGAGTTTGTCTTCAATAGAGGGGGAAATGTCTTTGATGATGAATGTTTGATACAAAGATGCAAATT